TTCAAAATCGAGCGGTCTTGATTATTTTTACGGGCCTTGGTTATTTCTCGAAGTGTAATTTCTGGTATGAATTGTTAAAATGCAAAGGCCGAGGGGTGCTTGACATTTTAGTGCATTTCAGTTGCAGTTAGGCTTGATGTTCTTGATGATTGCTTATGAATTATTTCAATTTGTACAGGTGAAGCAGTTTTTGCACGTTGTTTGTCGTCGTTGAAGAACGATCGGATTGCAGCATCCAAGGTTTTCGCCAGTCCCAAGTCAGACAGGAAAAGTATTATCGGTGAGAAAGCCGCTTTTACGGAGCACATTCGAAAAGTGAGTCAATCTTTTTTTGTTAATTGCTACAAATCAAAGCGGGCTGTTGTATTCGCATCGCAAGCATCTTTACGGTTTTGCAGGCACTGTATGCTTCAAAGATTATTAGTTATGCGCAAGGATTTATGCTACTCAGTGAGGCAAATCGCCTCTTCAACTGGGATTTGAATTTTGGAGCAATTGCGTTGATGTGGCGCGGTGGATGCATTATTCGATCACGTTTTTTGGGCGAAATAAAGAATGCTTTTGATTCGAATCCAAAGCTTAGTAATTTATTGATGGATAATTTCTTCCTGAACGCCCTCAAAGAGTGTCAGGTCTGTTGCATATTTTTCTCTAGCCACTTTTCATTGCATTTGTTTTTGTAGCTGAGTGCACTTTTTGTATCAATATTTGTCTACAGAAGCTGTGAAATCAATATTTTGCGCTTCCGTTTCAAACAGTAAGGGCTAAAATAGTAGAATAGAATGATTGGTCTTAAGTGTCGTGTGCCAGAGGATATTGTACGATGTAGTTAGTCTGCGTTTCATTCCTTAGCTGTAAACACAGATCGAGCAGTGTATGCGGGTAGAAGAGGGGATCATCAGTACAGCCTCCCTACCTAAAACCGTACTGCACATCATTTTGAAGTCTGGTACCATGTGCAAATGCAAGTACATCGGCCAATTAGAGACTTAAAACTTCAGTGAACTACTTATTCTGTTATTTCATGCCTGTAGTTTCGTTTATAATTGACATTCGCCAGGGAGGGGGGAGGGAGGGAGGGAGGGAGGAAGGTGAAAAATGACGAAACATAGGACCACTGCCTGGATGTAATTGCACCCAAGCACGGTTCCAGCCTCAAAATACGAATAATGGGCGCTTCTCTTCCGCGAAATCAAGTGTTGCAGCCTCCCACTTTTTGTTAGTTCCTTTTTTTTATAGAAAAATTTATTATTTCTTCCAAATTTTAATGTC